TTCAGACGGGTTACCGCTCGTTTTGCCGTCGTCGGTTAAACGTTCGGTTGACGTCGGAAATTAATATTGTTTGCCGAGAATGGACCGACGTCGAAAATCGCTTATCGTTTACAGATGATTTACCGCTCGTATTGCCGACGTCGGTACACCGCTGGGTTGACGTCGGAAATGAATTATCGTTTGGCGACGTTAGGCCGACGTCGGAAATTGATTATCTTTTGCAAACGTTTTTTCTCTAGTTTTACCGACGTCGGTCCAACGTTGGATAAACGTCGAAAATCGATTATCAATTTCAGACGGGTTACCGCTCGTTTTGCCGTCGTCGGTTAAACATTCGGTTGACGTCGGAACTTAATTATCGTTTGCCGACAATGGACCGACGTCGAAAATCGCTTATCATTTACAGATGATTTACCGCTCGTATTGCCGACGTCGGTACAACGCTGGGTTAACGTCGGAAATCGATTATCGTTTTTCGACGTTGCAACGCGTTGGACCGACGTCGAAAATCGATTATCGTTTACAGACGTTTTACCGCTCGTTTTGCCGACGTCGGTCCGACGTCGACTCGATGTAAAAAGCGATGATCGGTTGCAGCCTAGCGGCCGACGGACGATTGTTTGTCGGGAATGTTTTATAGTATTTATATAGACTTTTTATCTTACTAACGAACTCGTTTAAACGTTTGTGTCGAGTGCTCTCTATTGTGTTTTAAGTTAAGTTAAATTTGATTCCATTGTTTTATAATAAAATGGAACAAAAAAATAGAAAAAAATATATTTCCCTATCCCGGAGGCAAAAGCGGAGGAGAATTAATGCAGATCTTAAAATAATGGGCGTGGAGGTAAGAAATTGTATACAAAATACCCAAGACAATGTGGAAAGTGTACCTTTGCCAGAATATACTGAGGCTAAAACCGAAGTATTATCTTCCCCTAACCAGCCAATAAATAAACAGCTCAATAAAAATATTTTTACAGAAAATTTGGGAGAATATTCAGGAGGTCCTAGGGAAAATTCCCATACTTTTGTGGAAGATTTGCAAAATTTGTGTAATAGATACTTACCTAGTCAACTTTTTATTAATGATCTGTTAAAAGTTTTGAGAAAACATTATTGCAAAAAGAAGTAGAGGCTGAATTTGTAAGTATATAAAGGGCGATTTTAAACCTGTTTGATAATGTTAATTTGTTTTTAAAACACCCTAGGGTGCTAAAAAAATAAGCGACAAATTATAATTTAATGATATTTGGTCCCTTGCGGCCTTGAGTTCACGGTTTATTCACCGTGAATTCACTGTGAATTCACCGTGAATTCACCGTGAATTCACCTTGAATAAACCTTCTGTTTGTGACATTTGTAAACGGTAGTTAGACGGTGAATTCACGCACTTTTCACAGTATTTTAATTGTGAACCCACCGTTTTTTGGCGGTATATTCACGGTGAATTCACAGTGAAAGCACGGTGAATTCACCGTGCACTCAAGGCCGCAAAAGTAGGTATATCCTATAGGTTTAACACAATCGACTATAGCTAGCCATTATTCGTTACTGAGCAGATGAGGATGGAGATGGGGACTTCAATTTACGGTGTTTTCACAGTAAACTCACAGCGCTTTTACGGTGAATTCACGGTGATTTCACGATAAATTTACGGTACTTTCACAGTGAATTTGCGGTGATTTTGCAAACTTGAGTTCACCGTGAATTTACCGTGAAATGACCGTGAATTAACCGTGAAATCACCGTGAATTTATCGCAAAAACAGCGTGAGTTCACCGTTTAATTACCGTCTACAAATCACAAATGGACGGTATATTCACTGCACATAAACGGTGTATTCACGGTAAATTCACGCAAACGGTGAATTCACCCTAAACTCAAGGCCGCAAGGGGTAGCCAAAATAAGAGTTTAATATGTATAAATTTTTAACTATATACTGTTTTTTCAACTGGTAAAGGATACAATAATTTTGCAAAATAAGATGGATATCGTATCGTATAAGTATAAGTTTGTTACGTAACATAAATGTAACTGTTACGTAACAAACGTATTACAATAGTATTGCAATGTTACGTTACTGTTATATTGATTATTGGTAATTTTGTTACATTACAATAGTTTCACAATGTTACGTTGCTGTTATATTGCTTATTGGTAATTTTGTTACATTACAATAGTTTCAAAATTTTACTTTACTGATATATTGCATATTGGTAATTTTGTTATATTACAATGGTTTCACAATGTTACGTTGCTGTTATATTGCTTTTGTTACATTACAATAGTTTCACAATGTTACGCTGCTGTTATATTGCTTATTAGTAATATTGTTACATTACAATATATTGTAAACTATAGTTTCACAATGTTACGTTGCTGTTATATTGCTTATTGGTAATTTTGTTACATTGCTTATTGGTTATTTTGTTACATTGCAATAGTATCGTAATGTTACGTTATTGTTATGTAAATCTGTTGGGCAATAAAGTATTATTATTATTACATATTGGTTAACTTGGGACGGTAACAATGTTACCATTAGGTAACTGTTGCGTTGCATTTTAGTAACATCGTTACATTACAATGTTATTCCTATGTTATATAACGGCAATATTGTGTTACGTTAAATGTTGACCGGGTAATAATTTATTGTGCAAAACTTGAATAGTGATTTCAAACAAGCACGTATTTTAAATGCACAAATATTGTATAATTTATTTTCTAAAATTTTATCATAATGGAACGGGTGCGATTTGAACTTTTTATCTAGTATTGAAACTCTTCAGTGTTTATTCTTAAAGTTAGCTTCTTAGCATAACAATGTAGGGGAGACCGGGGCGGAATTGGGACTCTAACATTTAAAAATTATTTTTAGTAGGGTAGAGACGTGGTACAAATTCAAAAAAAGCAGAACGATTTATTAAAAAAAAAGTGTCCTTTACAATTTCACCACGTTTAGTCTAAAACACAGTAAAACGTTTGTAGTAACCCTTTTGTCATTACCAACTGACGTGTTGGCCTTCTAGTAAATGATAGCAACACAGCAAACGGAAAATTATAGTGGTGTATAGGATGACGCCACGTTTGAATATCGTTTTCTAAATCTCCCTACGGTATAGAGTTGTATTCGTCAGTCGAGCGTTTCAATACTCTCCATAGTATAGAGGTCGTAATTTCACTTTTGAACTAGTATTAATATAAAAATAATTTTATACTTAAAAAAAACTATATACGACATGATTGTGATTTTTTTCATTTTATTAATTAATTAAGCTGTGTTGAATATTTTTCCTAAAGGAATAATTGCCAATGGGCCATTAATTCATTTGTTCGTAGATGCTACAATAACCTGCACTGGTGTGTACTTTTTCATCAACCAGATTTAAATATTACATATACCAGTGGAGATAGTGCAGGGTCTACCAACAGACCTAATTACTAAATTATTAAAGTTTAATAGCATATCGATCATTTTTTCAACATAACCTCTGAAATTTTTAATACAAATATAGGTACTTTATATAATACATAAATATACTTAACATCATATCCTCTGTGCTTTACATACCTAAGTTGTTACGGTAAATAAAAATCACACAAAGGAACCAAAGAAAGGAACTATTTTCAACAAAATCATATGCAGAAATGAGAAAATTCAAACTACTTGCATCCATCAAAAGATCAAAACTTCTTGCAATATTACACCCTCTTTTTATACTCTCAGAAATATTGACTAGAACAGTATTAGAGAGACTCCAGTTTCTATAACTTGGTAGAGTAAAGAGAAGTCGAAACCGTTGCGATATTGCATTGCGCTGTTTTTGTATAATTCTCGGGGACATTAACGAAAATCATTGCCAGTAAAATTCGAAAAGCTTAAGTTTCTATGTCTCTGAGGAGAATAGGAATCCGAAGTTGCTGCACCATTGGACTGAACCCTTTTTTAATAATTTCTAGAGACATAAATGACTGCACCATTCGACAGGGTCGAGTTTCTACTCCTCTGTTGAATATAGAAAATCAAAATAATGTATCTTGTAAGACACCATTGAGTTTGACTTTAAATATAGTCGTGCATAGGTATAGAGCCGAAAAATATAAAAACAAAGCACGATTCAATACAGTTATGATAAAACTTTAAGATTTGATATTCAAACGCGGAGTCATCCTATACACTTCTATAATTTTTCGTTTGCTGTGAAAGGACGATAGTACTATCGATCATCTGCAGCGGGAAATTTAAATAAAACACCCTTCCCCCGTTCTACCCCGGTCTACCCTGCAACGATTTTAAGGTTATAAATTACGTCGCAATTAAACTATTTGACTTCAGATATAGTTTTTGTTTTGCTACATAACACATCTGAATTTTTGTCAAGGTATGGTAAGTTTTCGTGGAAATACCCCTTATTATGTGACACATTATTTTGTCTTCCATTCAAAATAATCAAATTTACTCATTGCCTGGGGCGGCAAAATATCTAGCGCCGGCACTGCAACTTAATAATAACAGACTCGCCATCCGCCAGGGTTGCCAGGTATGGCTAATTTTAGTCAAAATGGCTATTTTTAAAACTATTGGCTAAAAAAACAGTTTGGCACATGGGCCATCCAGGATGGCTACAAGTTTCAATGAACAAAAAATTGATTTGTTTGATCGTACAAAGTAAGAATATTCATAAATAAACGTATACAATTACAAACACTCATATTTATATCTGCGGAAAATGTGTAATTGTTTATTTATGTTCATCAAATTTATTTATGAAGATATTTAATATGATTTTAGGTGATCCCTTTATAAGAGATTTATTTATACTTAATACCTATATGTTTTTAGGGCAACAAATTCTTTAAATTAAAAACTATGGATATTATTATGTGTAATATACAATTTGAATAAGGCGTAATGTATAAAAATTAGTTATTACAATATATTTTTTTTATAAATTAGGTATGGTATTTTTTATATACAGTCATTATTAGGGAAAGTTGCAAATACAAATCTACAGAAAGTTATGATTGAAATAATCATATCTTCATTCTAATAAACTTTATTTTTAACTTTCCCTGAGAATGCTCCACAAACAGTAAATACTATACGGAGCTTTCGGCAGCTGGTATAACCTCCATATCGTCTCTGCACTTGGGTATAAACAAAGTGGCGCACGTATGTTCCCAAATATCCTGCGGATACTTGTCCTCGGTGGTCCACAGATCCTTGTCGATATCGTAAGTCTCCACGGCGGCCGTGTCTTTATCGAACATCGCGTCACTGTGAAACCCGCCGATAAAGTAGATTTTGTCACCGACACTCACGATCCCCGCGTGGTACCTCGGCGTAGGCACCCGAGTCACAACAAACCAGCAATCATTCTCGACATCGTAAGCGTCTATCGTGTCAACTAGCACTCTGGATCTCGATTCGTCCTCAGTCCAGCCACCACAAACATACAAAAGCTTGCCTATGGTCAGCATCACGTGATCCGCTCTGGCTTTCAACATGGCCTGACAATACCGCCATTCATCGTTATTAACATCGTAACAAAACATGTTCGATTGCACGTTATCCCTGTCTATGCCACCACTTATGTAAAGCTGAAAACCGAAGTTGCCTTGGTAACTAGCCCCGGCGTGCTGCGATATAAACGCAGGCAAAGGCTGCACCATAAACCAAGAGTCCAATATTGGATTGTAACACTCGCAGGTACTCGTTTCGAACTCGTCCGCTTCACTAGCGCCACCTACAGCATACAGCATGTCGTCCACTACGTTCAACGTGAATCTGCACCGTTCGATTTTCATTGGTGCCAGCGTGGACCACTTGTTGTACCTGGGACTGTACTTAAAGCCGAACGGATGAATATTTTCTTGCAGAGACTGGTTGAAACAGCCTCCGACCACATATAGTTCGTTATTGAATACAGCAGTGCCAAAATTGCATTGCTCCACGTGCGGGATGGAAGTCAAGTGTTTCCATTTCCGTTCGCTCGAGAAACAGTACGTTATTTCGTTCGTAATGCCACTTAAACCAAATCCGCCTATTTTTAAAACAGCCATCTCCATTCCCCTAGAGTTGAGTAGCGTGGAGTTAAAACTGGACTGTTCTTTCCCCACCTGCAAATACATCTCGTCCAACACTATTTTGTACAAATTCCATTCATACTTTCTTCCCTGAAACGCCTTATCCAAGATACCCATCAGTTTCCTTTGAGGTACCTCTTTGAAATGTATAAAGTGGAATATTCTTTGAGCGTATGCCAGTCTTGTGTCCAAGCTGTAAAACAAATATTTATATAAGTAACAACCTTTAGCTAAATGACCAACATTTATAAGATGATAAAATACATGCATAAAACAAAAAAAATTTACTCATTAGTATCAAATCTGAAGAACCAGGTGAGCACAATTCTCAATACGTCTCCTTCGGAGCAGTCCACTGGAAAATCATAGGCAAGAAGGTTCTCGAGCTGCATAGCAGTCAGTCTGTAAAACTCATTGGAATTGGAAAACTCCAACAAATGCCCGCTCATAAAGCTGTAAACTTTCATTCTCAGCTGAGTGAGTGAATAAGTTTCGGCAATGGTGGCAATGTCGACGCAATTGTCCACATCGATTTGCGATTGTAAATAATTCGAACAAGCTTGAATTACTGCTATCATTTGTACATGGGAGGCTGCTTCTAATACGTCTTGAACGTTGGCTAAGTTAAGGGCTAGTCTGCTAGTGTAGGCGTATTCCAGGAGTTGTTGAAAACCTTTTGCTGTGATACCTACAAATTAAATTTATAAAGTCATATGTTAAATATCCTGATGTTTTTTACCATTTAGACAAATTTCATTTTGCCTCGCCTCCAGCATATTGTCTGTAAACATTGCACGGAAATAATCGCTACAGGCAGCCAGAACGGCTTTATGCGCTCTAAACAGGTTCCCTTCTATGACCAATGTGATGTCCATAAGTTCCTCTTTTTCCCTGAGTGAATTGAGCCCCACCAGAAGGGTGTTCGGATGAGGAGCATGTTCGTAGAAGATGGTGTGCAACGGCTTGTCGTGCAAATATTTTTCCTTGGTCTTGGTCATTTTATAGTATGGCAAAAATGTGTACAGCTAAAAAAAATTGGTTGTGAAGGTTGTGTTGAATTCTCTTGGTGAATGAGTTTAAAGTTTACTTTTGATGGTAATAATATACGGTGTTCTTGTATCATCATCATCGTTGACATAAAAAGGATTAAAAATTAGAAATAATTGACAATACGTCTAGAAACAAACATGTACCCAAATAAAAGGGTTATTAATGGTGTCAAATATCTTTGACAAATGTCTTTGATGGCAACAGTAACCATTCTAAAATAATAGAGATCCCGTCCAAAATTAATGGGTGCCTTCTAAACTTATTCTTTAAATTTAATTCCTAACTTAAATTAATTTGGTTCAAAACATACCACACACAGCATACAAAACGAACTTGTATCTTTTATAATCTGTGCTTGTATCGTCCATTTCATTGGCGGTCAGGGGACGCAAGGAAGGCTTAGCCCCTGGGTAGGGCTTAGCCTCCTCAACATGACTTATTTTAATTATTTTATTTAAATATGTATTATATTTCAACTAATTAGCTATTTAGTGATTAATTAATGAAATTGTAGTTATTTAATTTAATTCTATTAGGTGCGACTCGGAAACACGGACACCGACGAACAGGAAGTACTACGGGACCAGCAGCGTACTAACCAACCAAGCCCAATTCATGAACTCCAATTTAATGGGGTTATTACTACATCCCTGGTTGAGGGGGACTACAGATTGTACTTAGTTTTGGTTCAGTTTAATGTCCATTAAAAACCAAAATATTTGCCCTTGTCCCGCACTCCACTAGCCTAAATCGGGCGTAGGGCCGGCCCGGCGACAAAATTCCAGGAGGGGCCTTAACCATCGACACTGTTTTTCACGACCTCCTAGGGGAGATTTACCATCCAGAGTGAAAATTCGGATCCACCAAACACAGGTAAGGCTGTGCAGTTGCGAGATACGTAGGAGAACTGAAAGGTGGTAAAATAACCCTGGAAGATCTGTGAACGGCGTTGCCGATGGGGCCAGCCATACGTTCCTTATACTCATATAGGTACTCATACTCAATTAGTAAAATTGTAATTTAATTTCCAATCATAATTATTATTAATGATATCTTTTCGTAATAAATGAAAATACTGAACCGGGGAGGATGGCAACAGACCTTTAAAATTTGTGCCACATACCATAGATAACAAAGCCACAGACGACAGACTGTGCCGCTGTTTATGACGGAATGATCAAGAGCGGTCACCGGTTTACTTTTTGTGGTGTTTTGTTTTGGTTAACATGAAAAAATTGGAAGGAATTAAAATGTGGGGAGATTTGTATTTGTAAGTCATATTAATAGTCTTTTCTTGGCGCCACAAACCAAACATTTAAGACACTTGCACTTTATTAGCCTCCAGAGGCGTGCTGGGCCGCCGGGACACCGGGCGAATGCCCGGTGGCCTGCGCTACCATGGTGGTCTGCTGGACTTGTTATGGTATGCAAATAGAAAAAAGATTTTTATACCAAACAAAAAGTTTTTTCAAGTTATATCACTAAACACTAAAATAAATTAAAAAAAAGAAAGTTTTAATTGACTCCCGTAAAAAAATCTAAAACAGGTATTTTGTATGCTAACCCTTAACCAAGAAGTCGCAGGTGGAAACCCTAAACCGTGGGGATATTTTGGATGCTTTCGTAATTATTTTTCCGTTTCTTTGTAAATCCAAACTGAATAGGGGCCACTTCGATAAAATGCAATTTTAGTAAATTTATAAATTATCGGAAGGGGGGATCAGCTCGGATTTATAGAGAAACAGAAACATAATTACAAAAGCATCCAAAAAAGCCCCCTCTCGCAGTTTCTGTCTTGATTTATTTGTGATAATACTTTCCTTTAATATTAGTGTGAAGTGACGTAAATTTGGAAGCTTTATCAGTCGAGGTATTTAATTGTGATGTATTTTAACAATTTATATGAAATTGGCTTCGGCCTGGACTGCTCTAACATCTAGTCCAGGCCTACATTGATTCAGCCAGCACGCCCCTGTTAGCCTCCTTACCAAGGAGCCCGAACTTTATATGGAAAATTTGTTGTAAATTGTACTGAGCAAGCTTTAGTTCAAACACCGTATTAGTTTAATACATATATTTTAACACTTCAGCAATACAGTTTTATACAGCGTTAAAAAACAAAACAATATACGTAACTAACATCAACAAGTATATAAGTATAAGTAAGAGTGTATGTTAGAACGCTAATCTTTCAACACTCCTCCTCGTTCAAACATTTAGATGATCTTACATCGTTTCCTAAGTTCGATGTGTCTGGTTGGTAACAAGGGCTTCGTAAGAAGATCCGCAATCATTTCTTCTGTTGGACAGAATTCGCAGTAGATATGTCCTTTATCAATGTGATCCTTTACGAAATGAAATTTTGTATCTACATGTTTTGTACGGTTACTGAATTTTTCTTCCTTGATGATCTTTAGGCAGCTCTGATTATCCTCATATACAATTGTCGGTTTATTAATTTCCACATTCAGATCTTCCAGCAGCCTCTGTAACCAAATTGACTCTTGACAAGTATCGGATAGCGCAATGAATTCTGCTTCGGTTGACGACAATGACACACAAGTTTGCTTTTTGCATGACCAATTGATGATTCCTCCGTTCAAAAAAAAAACATATCCGCTGTTTGATTTTCGTGTCTCCTTATCCTCTGCCCAGTTGGCATCTGAGTATCCAATCAACGCCTTTCTCTCGTTATTATTGTCGCTGAGTTTTAGTTTCAAATTTGCCGTTCCCTTAAGATACTTTACCACTCGTTTAAGTCGTTCCCAATCCTCTTGATTCGGACTTGATGTTTTCTGAGCCAAAATGTTGACACTTGCTGTGATATCCGGTCTTGTATTAATAGAGACATATAAAAGGCATCCGAGCAACTTTTGATAATTTGAATTGTTGATCATCTGAGATGCTTCTGTAGGTGATCTGTAGTACCCAACTTCCATCGGTGTCCTCGCTTCTTTTGCATCCTGCAATCCGAACGTTTTTGCGATTTGTTCAATATATTTTGCTTGGCATAGTTGAAAATTTCCTCTTTCATCTTTTGTCACTTCGATCCCGAGATAATGCTTTATCTTTCCAAGATTTTCCATTTCGAATTTTGCTGCCAGTAGATTTTTTATCAACTTTACGTGTTCCTCCCTTTTACAGGCAACGATCATATCATCAACATAGATCAATACGTAACACCAATCATCTCTGATTTTTCTCGAATACAAGCACGGGTCAGCTCTTCCTTGTGCAAATCCCCCATCAATCAAGGTTGCATTAACTTTCTCATTCCAAGTCCTTGCTGCCTGCTTCAGTCCATAAATACTCTTCTTTAATAAACATACTCTGTTTGAATCCTCATGGTGGAAACCGGGGGGCTGTTTCATGTAAATGATTTCTTCCAAAGTTCCGTTGAGGAAAGCAGACTTCGCATCAAAATGATAAACAACTAAACTTTGGTTTCCTGAAATTGACAACAAAGTTCTAAACGTTGATTGACGAACGACTGGTGCAAAAACTTCATTAAAATCTGTTCCGAATTTTTGTGAAAAACCTTGAGCCACAAGTCGTGCTTTGTATCGCTGTATATTCCCTTTTTCATCTTTTTTAATCTTGAATACCCATTTACATCCTATGGCTTCTCTTTTTTCAGGTAAGTGAGTTAATTCCCACGTGTTATTTTTTTCAAGGGATTGCATTTCCTCTTGCATAGCCACAATCCATTTATTTTTGTCTTTGCCAGACATCGCTTCTTTAAAACTCTTAGGCTCGTAGGTTTCATCTTCACTCGTTAAGTTCATTTCTTCGATCAATCTCTTGGCTGGTTTTCCTTTTGTTGGCCTTGTGCTGACTCTAAGGGAAACTGGTTTCTCGTTCATATGTATTTCCTGTTCTTCATTTTTAGATTCTTCTATCTGGGTATCAATTTCTTCTTTTTCATTGTCTCTTCTTTTAGGAGATTGAAAATTAACATCCATTTCTGTGAACCTTTTATTTTCTTCAGGAAATTTAACGTCACGACTGATTTCTAGTTTTCGTGTTACTGGGTTATAACATCGATATGCTTTTGACTCGATGTCGTATCCAAGAAAAATCATCTCAATTCCTGTGTTGTCAAGTTTCCTCCTTTTCTCTATTGGCACGTGTACAAAGCATTTGCTTCCAAAATGATGAATATTTTTGAGTGTCACTCTGCTTCCACTCCACTGCTCGTACGGAATTGACTCTGTTGCCCTAGTTATGACACGATTCTGAATATAAACTGCCATTGACACTGCTTCTCCCCAAAAAGAATTCGGTAGTTCCGCATCGATCAACATACACCGCGCTATTTCGATTATTGTTCGGTTTTTTCTTTCTGCAACTCCATTTTGCTGTGGCGAATATCCTGCTGTCAATTGAATTGTAATTCCCTCGTCCTTCAGGTAGTCCTTGAGCTGGTTTCCTGTATACTCTCCTCCTCGATCTGAACGGAGAATTTTCGGTTTTTTCTGGAATTTTGTCTTTATCATCTCAACGAATTCCCTGATTGATTTTTCGACCTCACTTTTGTGTCTCAACAATTTAATAATTGTGAAGCGCGAAAAATCATCTATAAACGTGATAATGTAACGTTTTTCGCTCGGGGTTCTGGTTTGCATGGGTCCGCAAACATCTGTATGCACAAGATCCAGCACGGCTTCTCTTCGGTTCAAAGATTCCTTTGGAAATGGTTGCCTTGTCATTTTTCCTTTCGCACATGTCTCACAAAGTTCCTTAATTCCGCATTCAATTATCTTAATTCCGTCAACCAGTCCTCTTGCGCCCATCTTTCTTATTGCTTCTGCATCTCGATGTCCCAATTTCTTATGCCAGCTGTGAATACAATTATCATTATGACCCAATCTCAAATTGTTAACCTTATCAAGTGTGCGCAACTCATACAAATTGTTTTTTCTGTCTACCATTGCGACCTGTCTGTTATTTTTGTTTATTTCACAATAATTCTGTCTGAATACTATTTCAAACCCATTTTCGGCCAATTTTCCAATTGACAAAACATTCCCAACAAGCTCCGGTGCAAATAATACTTCATGTGCTATCGCTTCCTGGACTTGTTTGCTCTGGTTAGAAAATTTCACCTTTCCGCTTCCGATTCCGACCACGTTGATCCTTTCGCCATTTCCAACCTCGATCGTCGCCTTGTATGATTCATCTAGAGAGTTGAAAAACTGCTTGCTGTTGGTTACATGCCTCGTTGCCCCTGAATCAAGCAACCATCCGTCCCTGCTCAGTTGATTGACTGAAAAAACAAAATCATTATGCTCTGAGTTAATTGAATTAACTTGTTCTCCATTTTGTTTCCTATTCAATCTCTGCGTTTGCCTTTTTTCAATCCACCTTTTGTATTCTGCGCAGTCTCTTTTTATGTGATTTGGCTGTTTACAAAAAAAACAGGTGATATCTGGATGTTTATTCTTTTCAGCAACTTTCAGAATCGTCTCGGAACCAGAACTTCCCCTTGAGTGGACACAACGCTCATATTCCGCAATTAATTTCTGTTGTACAAATCCCAATGTCAAATCATCCTCATTTCTTGCCTCAAGTGCAGTTATAAGTGTGTCGTAAGTTTTGGGTAAACTACTAAGCAACATTGCGACACTCCAGGGCTCTGATAATTCTTCATTGCTGATATCCTTGAGTTTCACAAACAAATTTCGCATCTCATTAATGTGTTCAGAAATTTGCCCATTGTCCTCCATTTTTAAAGAGCAAATCATTCGCATTAAATGGACTTTATTACTCAATGTTGCCTTTTCGTGGTACTGCTTTAATTTGTTCCAAGCATTTAGCGCTGTAGTTTCGCTACGAACATGAACAATTTGGTCATCGTCAATGGATAAGCCTATCAAAGAAAACGCTTGTTCGTCAATTCGATCCCACTCCTCCTGCAGGTGTTGTCTTGCTTTTTTTTCTTCATTCGTCGCAATAGCTGGTAAATCCTTAGGTCGTACCTTATTAATTGCCGTCCACAAAAGTTCCTTTTTCATTAATAACTCGATCTTGAACTTCCAGTTCATGTAATTTGAATTATTCAACTTTTCAAATTTTCCTTTACAATCTCCCATATTGACAACTCTTGCCTGTCAAAAAATATCTCAACTTTTACTTTTTGAAATTTATTCTTTTCCGTTATCTGGGCCCATAACCTGTTGTAAATTGTACTGAGCAAGCTTTAGTTCAAACACCGTATTAGTTTAATACATATATTTTAACACTTCAGCAATACAGTTTTATACAGCGTTAAAAAACAAAACAATATACGTAACTAACATCAACAAGTATATAAGTATAAGTAAGAGTGTATGTTAGAACGCTAATCTTTCAACAAAATTGACAAAACCTGCCCTATAAATCGCACAAATTAAGTCTTTTTTACCACCAGCGCTTTCTTATCTTAGGAAGATTATTGTATACATGAAGTTCAGACTTCTTGTGTAGGCTCTATGCTTCTTACTTTGACTAACCACGAGCCGCCACTGGTCCAATTAGATTTGCAACCAGCTTTTTAAGACCATTAAATTGATATTATCTATTAACATAATTTGAACTGTTATGTTGTTAATAATTTATAGGCAATTGTTGGATACTTTTACATAACTGTATTCTTATTTCTGCTCGCAGCAACCATCTGTCGAAATTCTGCCAAAACAAACTGTTCTTTAATAGTTTTGTGTTAGTTTTATTGTATTAGAATTTTGCTATTTACAAATAATAATTGTAAAAGTTTTCAAGGTCTGACCATCATAAAATAAGAATTATTGTATATGAAAAAACGAATTATGCCTTCTAAAAATACGTATGATTTTATGTTCAACTTTAAACTATATTTCCGTTGAGTCACTCAACTATTACACTTCTGGGTCTTCCGCTGCATTGCTAGTGTCAATACCGAAATACTTTCACTACTTTTAATTTAATCAAGATTATTTTTAGAAAAGCACTTTGCGGTTTAATATCAAACAGCTATTTGCAAATGCATTATTCTATTTTATAAATTAACTATCACTTAAATGAGCTACAATTACCAGAGGCCTAGAAACTTAACAGGTTTTTTAATTTTATTCAACGCCAAGAACTTGTGTAAAACATAGAATAGAAAGATATTTTACAAATATACAGGGTACCCAGTAGGGGAAAATACCAATTTACGTGTTGGGTAAAAATAGAAAAGTATATTTAATCTGTGGATATTTTCATTTGTGTTCATGCTTTACTTAATAAGTGGTCGTGTGTAATACGTTTCAGAATGTCAAATAGATCTGCTTCAACTAACTGACTTATTGGACAAAACTGTATAAATGAGATGTAGCTCTTAACATTCACCGTACATATTCGTCAAAGCGAAAATAATACTTGCGTAAGGATATGTTCAGAAGTGATCTCGAATATTTGTTTGATGCTGCTGCGAAAGACGCTCTGGGTAAAATAAAGAACGTTGAAGAAAAAGTTTTTCTTCAAGAAGTAACCTTGTGAAGCAATATAAAATGCAAATAGGCGCTTATCTTGTTTGACAAGCTATTTAACAATATAATAAAAACTGTACGCAATAAACTAATCAGGGGTTTACAAGAAATGACCTTGAATAAATTGTAATTGTAATAGAAAACGCTATACTAGAGCGTGAACAGTTTTTATAATAATTCGAGCGATATTTAATTATAGTTAATTTACTATATGACAATAAATTGTATCGCTATTTTAACTGTAAATAAAATCATGAGACATATTAAAATAAAATCAATAAATACGGTTGCTGGGCAACGCGTAAACAGTTCCTGTAAAATCACACGTAATAATTGAAAATGAGTCAGGAAACGTCTGATAAAGAGGAGTTTCAAAATAATAAAGATGTTATTGAAGTGGAAACCAAATCTGGACGACAAATAATCGTTAAATATTACTTGGAATCCACTAAAAAACTGCTTTTTACGAACTCTTATCCGTCAAACTATTTGGTGGCCTCCATCAAGAAGAATATCGAGAGATTCTTTAATATACCCTTTGTAAACATTATTCTTAAACTCGGAGATGCAGTTCTGAACAATGAAGACAAAATCGGCGACTTTCAAACAGATAACTTTGGTGTCCTGGAAATTACTCTTGTGTTCTCGAATGTCCACCTAAAATTGGAACCTGAAGATGTCGCTCAAATATACCAGCATGTACCTCCAGTGTTGCCAGATGTCTTGACAGTACAAGTACCAACGGAAGATAGAGGGGTTTACAACGTTGTCGTTGAGGTCGAGAATAAATGTATTTACAAGCCAAATTTGGGTGGTTACGAAAATACGTCGACCGGTATTGAATACCATAATGCCTATAGTCAAACTGGGCCTTATTTGTTGAAGAAAAATGGTTTGGTGTTGGCGCATAGAGATTCACAAACTCCTTCGACTAAAAATAAAACGATCAACTTGGCTATGAGTAAGGCTACACAGGTAACGCATATACCTCAAGGTGGTGACAAAATTTTAATACCTAGACCTTACGAAACGGCAGAGGAAAGAGCAGTTAGGTTGGATATACCTGGAAAGGTTAGGTTCATACAGAAATGCTATAGAGCGTGGAAATTAAAGAAAAAAGTTAAAGAACTTAGTTTGGAATACAAAAAAAGAATGTCAAAACAAACACAAGACGATCTACAAGAGCAAATCAGGGAAGAATTAAGATTTAAGAAAGATTTGACGAACAAAGCTTTTCCAATGGACGCTGAAGATTTTGATATGCTTTACAGCATGATCGAGAGATGGAAGAGAGCTGAAATAAAAAGGATATCCCAGGAATACTGTGGTCCGGCTAAAATAGTCGAGTTTCAAGTTCTTCTAGACAAAGAAATCGAATTGCTACACTCGATAGATAAAGTGAGACAAACAATTAGCGACGATATCGAAACGCGGAAGGAAGTTAGGTTCTTCAAGTCCATAGGGATGCCGATTAGATGGAATAGCGAGTACAAAAATTTACCCATTGAAATGGACACGTTGGAAACACAGAAAGGTCGCGATTACTTTCAAATGTATAAATCTATAGGCGACAAGAATTTAAGTGTGGACGAAAAAGTGGATTTATACACTAAGATCAAGAAGTATTTCGAGAACCATAAATGTCCAACTGTAGTTGAGCTAAATAAACTTATAGACAGAATGTGCACCTTACTGGCTAGAGGCATGAGTAAATCTCATTACCTCACTGTAGAACACATGATTGAAAAGTTAATGTTCCATCATTTTCAACTGCCCGAGTGCAATGAAGGCGTAACCTCACGATTAAACAAATTAAAGGAAAAATCAATGGAGAACAAGTTGGTTTGTTGCCGAAGCTGCCAAAAATTAAAATCAATGGACTCTTTTCTCATAAATGCGCGTATGAGCAAAACCAACATATGCAACGCTTGTCAGTGCTTAAATAAAAGCGAAGACCCTTGCATAGACTTTACCCCGTATAAATACATTTTAAAACAAGTAAAAAAATATGAAGCTGAACATCACAGCAACACATCCGTAGCTTTTATTGTAACAGTAAGCGATGTTTTTTATATCATGGACAAATTTTGGCATGGCAAGTCGGCCTTAAGTGAATGTAACGATATTTCCAAGCTAAGATTGGTGAGATGGAATGTAAATGAACAATGGTCCCCGTGGAATTGCCTTCCACTGACAGTGGACGAGGGAAAGGCGCATTTAAGAATAAAAATATTAAGAGATGTTTACGATGAACACTTTATGTCCGAGGTCTTCAACAAGCTTGCATTGGCCAAAATTCAATTCAAGCAGCTGATCTTTGTTGAGAACTGTTTGGAAAAAAATTGAGTTACCAAACAATTTCACTTTAATAAGGAATTAAAAATAATTCTTAGCAAAACGCAGTCAGTTCTAATTACCCATTGTTAGGTATTTTTTGTTGGATTATGTGAACTCATTGTGTGTTACGTTATTTAATAAAATAAAATGATAGAAATTAATAATTAAGAATATTTAATGAATGCCTTTTCAAGTCAATGAACAGTTAGATGGTAGAATTTTCCTCTACCGGGTGTGCAAACGAATATTTGCGGAAAAATCCTACTTTCGTTAAATTGGTGATTCATGACTAAAATAAATTAAAATAAGTTTAAAAATGTAAAAGTACCGCTTAAACCAATGCACCCACAGATCTGGAACCAAATAATCCTGTGGTATAGAAATTATTTTTTGAATAAATCGTATATTTTTAAATGTTATAATACTTAAATCTCGTATGAATGAAATTTGCTGCATTTTTAACAGGAATGTTACTAACAATTTAGGTCGTAATTATTATGCGCATAGATATAAATCATAATTTTTAACGTTGATTGTACACGTTTCCATGACACCAAGTGACCTTTTAAATACACATTGACAAGTAATGGCTTTATGGCGCTTTAGTCACGGGCTGAAGTTAGTTTTAAGTTAGTTGACAGTTGTAAAATGTCATACAATCGTTAAAATAAAGTGCCTTTCTTGTAAAATAATACTAAATATAAAAATTATTTAATTATCTTATTACAAAAGTATTAAATAGTTTCTTAACGCCAATATCACTGTAGGTAAATTTCAAACTTTTGAAAAGACACATAAAAACGCCGGGACACGTAAACCTAATTTTTGGGTGTAGAATTCAGTGCTGGTTTTAAAGAAAAATATAGCATAACTCGTTTTAAAATGTCTGTATTTATTTTTAATTCATAAATTTTTGTCTCTTAAATTAATTAACATTCGTGTTTAAGCCGATAATATTCATATTTTTTTAATTTTATTAGATTTTTCGCATATTTCTTTTTTTGTAAATAAATTTGTTTTAGTAAATTTTATTGTCTGGTATTAGTGGGAAATATTCGAATTTAATAAAATTTGAGAATTTCATTTACTAGTAAATAGACCAAGTACAGCCTGTATAAATGTTGTTTTTAGTTTTTACAATTGAAATAATTCTTTGCTACATAGTTTTGTGGTTAAGTAAGTATAAATATGTAGCTACAAACTTTGCATGCTCATTTTAATTTTTATGAAAAACAACTTTCAACCAAATCCGATGAAGCTGGTGAACGATTTCATCAAACCATTATGACATTTGAAGATCGGTTTTCTGGCAAAAAATTCGACTCGATGCTTGCTGATTTTTGTTGGCCAATCTTCAAAGAGGCATAAAATTAAACATTATTTACATTCTTTACAACTTGTTATTTAAGTAGTTTTTTTTATTTTTTAAAATATAAATTAATTTTAATATTTTATACTACTAACTGACAAATTTATTATTGATAAATAATAATTTTTTAGAAATAAATAAATTTTAATAGATTTTAAAATTGGAGTTGGCCAAAAATGTTAATTATAAATAAATAAAGATATTTTAAGAGGGATTATGGTGTCTTAAAATATATATATATATATATATATGTACCGGCGATTTTTTATGTCTTTACTACTGTGTATTTAAACGTTAACAAATTTAACTCAATATTTATGAAATAATAGCACTTCTCTGCTTCTTGAAGCAGAGAAGTGCTATTATTTCATAAATATTGAGTTAAATATCTATTACTACTGCTATAAAATGGATCTCCAAATTAAAAAAAAAAGTTAACAAATTTGTTCTGACTTTTTTATTTTGCATACAGTGCCCATAAAACATTCTCTTCTCTTTTGCTGTGAAAATCTGCTTCGATTTTTAGTCTATTTGCAAGGAATAAATTTTGATTTACACAGAAAAATTTAAGATTTTAACGCCGGTAGATTCCCAAGTAAAAAATTCCAACGGGAATTCCAATAAATACAACTGTCACTTTTTGTCCCTTAAACATTTTCCGTGTAAGAATTTTTAATACTTTGTGATATGTAATATTTTGCAGTTATAGTATTAAAAACAATCAAAGGATAAAGTATTTTCTTAACAGTCATATTTTAAAGTTATTTTAATATTTTAAAGTATCAATAGATAATTTTTAAGTTTAATTAACGGGCAATGTTAATGGTGAAAATTGAATTAAATTAAATAAATTAATTAATTACGTCAAAAATGTAAAATATTTAATTTACATATTATTCGTAGTAGAAAAAGTATAGTATGCAACTCGTTTATAAACTTTTCTGGACACTCATTTAATTATGCACGAGCGAGCTTACGAGAATTAAATTCGTGTTTAAAATGGCATTTATAAAACTTGATACATAATATACAATAAACGTTGAAAAGTTTGTTGCATTTTTACCAGGGAGATTACAAATAATTTAGGTCGTAATTATTATGCGCATAAATATACATCATTATTGGCAGTCAAAATATCATAATTAATACAAGTGCTTTTTAATTTGAATTTAATGCATGTTGGGATTATTATTTACTAAACAATGGTACCTATATTTAATCATTAACAGGCCTGTTAATGATTCATACCGGTATTTAGGCTACTTGTATGACAAAATTTTACAAATATCATTTAATGTAAATGACTAGTCAATATTTTAATATAGAAAACATTAAATTAAAGCTAATATAGTATATAATAGTGTATTATGTATCAAGTTTGATAAACGCCATTTTAGTCACGAATTTAATTTAGACACGAGCGAGCTTGCGAGCGAGTGCTTAATTAAATGAGAGCCTAGAAAAGTTTATAACCGAGCAGTTGCATACTATACTTTTTCAACGACAAATAGGTACTTAATGATATCTAAAAAAATATTTAAATTAAATATTTGTATAAAGCGACATCTATACGAAAATAAAGTAACCTTTCCAATAAACAATTTTCACGTATTTTCACCATTATTGAAACTTTAAAATATTAAAATAACTTCAAAATAGGATTATGTTAAGAAAATATTTTATCCTTTAATTTTGTGTATTACCTATAATTTTTTCAAATATTGGCGTCAGAATACTTTTGTATTTTTGTATAAAAATAAGTAATAAAATAATTTTATTACTTACCTAATAAAATAATTTTCACATTTAGTAGGGGAGAGTGGGTAGAGTCTGGACACTGGGAGACAATGGACAATGGACGAATTTCGCGGTTCCAGTAAAAATTTCAGGTTGGTTCTACTATTACACATCGTCAAGTTGGTAAGGTATCAAATAGTGGTAGTGAAATAAGTTTGAGTTTAGCTGTAGAAGAGGTAAGTGGAAAAGTATATTTTCGAGTTTTTTCATGTAATATTTTACATTCCCCTTGTAAGCTTTTCTGCCCAGACCGTTGTAGATAAATAATTTAAAGTTACTACATATTAAAGCATGTATAAAGCATGGAACTTTTGTTATATCCTTACTTTATTCCGTTGCTATATTTTGAAATTATGAACATTTTTTTTGTTTCACATCATGTAGGGAGAGTTTGGACACACTGTCTAGAGTCTTCCTCTATTGTCCAAACATAGTCCCGGCACTTCGTTAACAGAATATTGCAAAAATTAAACCAAGGATATACAGTAAAATTCCTTAAAAGGCAGTTTCTATCATACAGATTTAAAGAAACACATAAAGATGAAGCCTTGGTGGATTTTAAGGACGTGGTATTGGTTCTTCCCCCCCACTGACGGAGTTCGATTCCATAACATGATTTACTTTAATTTTAATTTGTCGCAATTTAGTATTGAATAAGTTTTGCTCTGATTTTTTCAATAAAATTCCTAAATTTATAATATTTTTATAGTGTCCAAATGCACCCCGTACTTTGTCCAGAATCTCCCCGTATGTGGGGTGACTTTGGACAGATGACCGAAAATTTTCAAAAATTCGTAGCAAACCCATCTTACGATTTAAAGTGCACATATTTATATCTTTGCGTTTTCAAAAGTCAACACTATTACCTGAAACTTTTAAATTAGAAATAATTACATTTCTAAGAGACCCAGGCAAAAAAATCTAAAAATTGTACAATGTCTACCCACTCTCCCCTATTACTTTACAAGAAACGCATTTTATTTTAACGATTGTATGACATTTGATAACTGTCAACTAACTTAAAAATATCTTAATTCAGCCTGTGACTATAGTATAAAAACCCGTTGCTAACTTTAGCCCGTAACTAAAGAGCCATAAAGCCACAACTTGTAAATGTGTATTTAAAAGGTCACTTAGTGTCATGGAAACATGTACGATAATGGGCGTTTTAAAGGTGGGAGTAAAAAAAATAAATTATTTTAGTTAAAAATATTTAATCATTATTTTATAATGATTCAAGATTTTTATTAGATTTAATCTTGCATAATATGCAACTATTTTTATTAACGTCATTTAAAATACGAGTTTAATATTACGCGAGCGGAGCGAGTTTTTAATAAAGGAGAAGTTTATTAAACGAATTTTATTTTTATTTGACATTTTCTCTGACATCTGACTTACTTTTTTCCAAAATAATGAACTATAGTATATTAAATAATTATTAAGTTAACTTAATACGCTAGTTAACTTAAGTTAATTAATACACTAGTATATTAAATGTAAATGACTAATAACCAATAATTGAATTAAATTTTAAAACATTTTAAATGAATTTTAAGCTAAAATAGGTAATGATTCAATATTTTAAATTAATTCCTACTGTTTATAAAAAACTTTACAAGTTTAAAATCATAAAAATAATGCCAACGGTTCAACAGTTCAAAACTTGATATATATTCTACAATCCATGTAACAATTTTCCATGTTAGTGACCTAACCCAATAAATTATCTACATATTTAAACCTCAATAGAAACTGGTTTTCGGACACATATTATATTAAATAAATTAAATTGTATACAAAAATAACAGAATGTAATTTAATCACGTAGGGTTAGTTAACCAGTAATTGACCAGTTAAGGAAATTTTCGTGAATAAATTATTATATTTTCCTCTATTTTTAGTTTAAAATAAAATAAAAAATATCATTGAGTTTAATTTTGTTTTAAGATTTGATAACAGCTGACTAAAAAATAAAAAGAGTTTCTATGCCGACGGAAAAAAATTTAATGCACGAAAATTCATGATTTTCCAGTGGTTGACCAATGCCTTGTAAGCAGATATCATTAATAAAACTGTGCCATCTAGAAGTTTAGGGGTAAAACACTATGCAAATAATATAAGTTTTTAATTAGGTAATACAGGGACCTTGCTTTTATCATTTAATCGGTAAGTTGGTCAATAACTGGTTGATGGTCAATTACTGGTTAACTGACCCTATGTGTGTCATCCGATTCCTTTACATCTTTCCAAATACCTATGTGAACCACAACAAACAATACAATCATACCCTAACCTCTATTTCTGTCAAATACAAACATTTCAACTCACCCCATCAGTTGATCACGTCGATTTTGTATTTAATTCTGGGTTGGCTAGTGGTGACCTTTCGCGTAATGCACTTGTTCGCATGGTGTTTCACTCAGATTGCTCTTTTGTTTCGCAGAACTTTGTCGAGGATCGACTGGAAAACATCAACCAGTCGAAGTGGCGATTGAAAATAACTGACGTAACGTGACCTAGTGGCGCGTTTCTCTTTGAGAACGCCTGCGACGTAGGCAACACAATGTGCGCGAGTCTCAGCCGTAGACCCTTGGCTGTCTTGGCCAGGGTGGTATTGGCGCTCAGCACTGAATAAAGCAGTTTGTTCACAAGAAACTTTATTATTTTATGTTTAGTGTTTCTAAAAAAATACCAGAAGAAAGATTGCTTAGGAAGACTTTACTCTTAGTGCAGCACTGTAAAGAGGAAGGGGAAGAGAAAGATTTTGTATTTTTTGAATTGAAGATTGAACTTTATATTAAAATAAAACACTTGTACAATTGGGGACACCGCGAATTTCGAACGACTTATCATTCCGTTGACATCAAAATCTTAACTGACTTTATGGACAACTACCCTTACTTCCGGTTATCACTATTCTTCAAGAATAGTGATAACCGGAAGTATATTATAACCGGTTCGGATATCCGGTTAACCGGTCCTATTAACCGGTCAACCAGTCCGATTATCTGGTTAACCGATCTGATCAAACCGAGCCGGTCGAGCCAGACCGGTTAGACCGGATCGGCGGATTAACCGTAACTGGTTTAACTGCAGTTACATGTAGCCGTCACCGGTTTAATCGTAGCAAATTCATTGTTTTTAATAAAAATGGATCACTTCACTAACCCTTTCACTTTTCTTTACCCGTGACAACCAGGCAGTTCATGCTTGATTTTTTTTAAATAGATACATACATGTATGTATACTCAATAAAAATGAAATTAGAATAATAAAAATACCACCAATTTTACTAAAAACTAAAAAACAAAAACAAACATTATTCAAGTTATCGTCAAATTATAGTTACGTGATAAAAATTAATAACAAAACTCCCTATTTTGTTATTATTGAGTTTTGATTTAAAAAAATCAATTTATCAGCTTTTTCCGGTAGCAAGCAGTTTCTTTTTTCCAAAACTATGTTGCCTGAAATGGAAAACATGAAAAAACTATAGATTTCCTTATTTCTTTTTGAATTTTTATATTTGTTTGTATTTTTTTAATAAAAATACTTTTGTTTTACTAACTAAGTTTTAAACGCATTAATGTTTATCAATATTGATTTTTTCTCTTCGATATGACATCGATATTGTGTTTTCAATATATCATTTGATGTCAATATCGATTCTTCAAGAATAGTGATAACCGGAAGTATAATTCTTGTAATTTTGACAGCAAAAGCAAAAATTGTATCGATCTATGCTATTTACAGAATTACACAAGGACGACCAAATTATAATGTTCTAAATTCCGTGTCCACCACTGTACATAATATGTACATTATGTATATTATACATATACTAGGGTGATTAAAAAAAAATCGAATAATTTTGTATTACTTCCGTCACTAAAAAATTGGTTCTCAGGCACCTCTAGAAAGTGCTCACCAAATTTGAGCTCTTAATATTAATATTAAGGTCCTCCTCATCACAGTTTTCCATTTTTTCTTTACTACCTTATACATATAAAGACCATATTGCATTATTAATCAATCGTTTAATCAAATCTTTATACATATTTTTGTAGGAAATTGAATTTTCTAGAAAAAAAGACTGATGTGTTCAAGCGATTATTCTAACCATATTCATTCAAGATCAATGTTTGAAGAATTTATAAAAAAATATTTTTGTGAATCACCCCAATCTTTGAATAAAAAACCTCAGGAAGAAGTAAATGATAGAAAATAGCTGACCGTACAGGGGGCTTAAAGAAACTAAGAAAATTGAATGGCTAACCAATTGGTGGTCACAAATGGCGGACTATCGTTTCCGCCACCTATAACGTTTAATTCTTTGGAAGGTTTAATTATTAAACAACAAAAACGTATAGAACAAATCATAAGCGCTATTAAACAACAAAAAAACGCTATTAAGCAAACCAAAAACGCTCAAACAGGTAAATAAACAAACACAAACTGTCATCTGTCAGAAAAAATGACTCATAATTGGACTCCTAAAACGGCGACTTCCGTCGTAAATTTATTACATTAACGAGATTCGGCAGGGTCCTTCCTAAGGTTTTTTATTCAAGGACCCCAATACATATATGTATTGGGGTATATACATATACGTATACATGTACATAAATAGGAACACATGTATTTGCATATATTTAGGTATACCTACGAATCTTGGTCCCAGAAAAAACTAGGTTTTGTCTATAGACAATATATAGGCCTATGGTTTTTACTTTATTGGAAAGATAATTTTGTGACATTTTAATTATGATTTAGCGCGATTGGCTAGAATAAAGCGCAACCTGAAAGTAAAATTCTCGATACGTTTTTTTGGCACTGGTGTAAAAATTATATAGGGCCATTTCACGCGTAACGGATAGGACAGTTGCCGTGTTTTTATTTACAAAATAATATTGTTCTATTATATTACCAATGTCAAATTTTTATAAATAGTTCTAAACTAAAGCTGTTTAACAAGGTTTTTATTTGGCAAAATTAGGTATCGTGGTTGACTGTTTAATTCCTTAAAAACTAATAATTTAAAGCGTAACGGACGGAACTTTGTAATAGTCACAGGGCCTTTCAAAAACCGTGAATACTATGCAGAAAATTATGGTGATAAAAATTATAATTCAAAACCCGGCCAAAATATAGAAATTTAAAGTAAAAATGATTAAAAATACATGCTTTTTATATGGAAAAACTACAAAATTAAAAAGGAAGTACCTACTTAGAATCAAAATTAAGGGCTCAAATTTTCAGGGAATTTTTTTTTCAACCTAAAAAACAAAATTTTTATGTGTCAGCAAGAAAAAAAAATCGTTTTAAATGAAACACCCTAATAGATATACCCATATATCCGTAGTAATATATTACTATAATGTGCACTAATAATACTCAATTTATTTTTTTTTAAGAATTTTTGATGTACGTATTACATAATATATTATATTTTAATTACTTATTTAAAACCCAAACTGTATTTATATTCAGTCCCTTTTAAAAGTTTCAAGCTCAAAATCCATACAAAAAATGGTCTTAGTTTTTCTTGTAAACTGAATTCTTGTTAAAAAGACTCCCTCCAAAATCATTTGAACTTTCATTTTGGATAGGTCCAAGTATAAACCGCTAATGTTGTAATTTCCCTAAAAAATACTTTTTTAGCAATTACTTTTTTCGTTAATTGTAATATTCAATAGGTAAGGTTCCTTTTTTTTATTTGTAACTTAAAACATTTGATTATGTTGATTATGTTAAAATACTTTGGTATTTTTAATGTTTAAAATTACAGTAACTCCTGTTCAAGCTCTTAATTTGAAATACTTTAACATTTGTCATTTAACTGACAGAATTACCTATATTGTGTATTAAATTATGTACGCTGGAAATGCATATTTGCCTTTTTTGGGTCGTTAAGTCACCTATATTTCATCAAAGGTAAAGTTATTGCATTTGTTAACAACTTATTTTTGACATTTATAAACCTATTCATAGAGAAAGAACCAAGAACTCCCTATTAAAAATGCCATATAGAAACACAAAATAAAAATCTATATGGTTCTATATGGTTCAATATAGGAATTTGAAACAGGCATTGCAGTATTGAACCAGATAGAATTCTATACATGGAAAACCATATAGAAGAGTGATTTCTATATGTATTGCCATATAGGTTCAGATTGAACCATATTGGAGCTCTATCTGTCCCAATATGGTTTGGGTATGAACAAATTATTACCAAATAGATCCATTAGAATTATATAAAATAACCCGAATTATATTCTCCACTTAACAATAGTTTAATGTATCCAATTATAAAGTTACGGAGTTGCGAATAAAACAAACTGTATACAACAATTGTTAATAATAATTAATAATAAAAATAATAAAGAACAAAATTTATATCTATAATATAGATTCTATATATACCTAGGTAGGTACCTTTTTTATGGGACATTTTTCTGGTTCCATGCCAATCTGCTTTTGAACATCCCACCATAATGGACCAACGTATCTGTTTAGAGTTTCGCATAAATGATTATCCTCAAGGGTAAAAGCGTTCTGTTTTACATTATTTTTTTCTTTTTTACCGCATTTTAACCTTAACTGGAAACAATAGTATGGACATTTAGTAATCAATAGTATAGGCATTAATAATTTCCTTACTTAATGTATTTAGTTAATATTATGACTTTTAAAATTAAAAACAAAACTTACTCCAACGTCGTTTTCGAGAACAAATGGCGCAAAAACATGCCCATCCAAAACTTGCGTGGTTTTGTTAATCATACGAAATCTTAATTCAGCTTGAATTGGTAAATTTTTGTATTCCTTACATGGTTCAGCTTTATGAATAATAATTCCTGATGGCCCTAAGATCTAAATTTTATTATAAAAAAAATTTAGACAAGTAATTTTATTCAAATTAACTTACAAAGTATTTCCCAATTACCACCAGAACTAAGCTTGAGATTAAAAATAATATAGCGATTGTATTAAGTAAATACATTTTTGCGAATGTTGTTTTTTGAAATTTTCAATAAATGCATTAACAGTGTGCATATAACCATTTGTTAATTATTAAATAATTTAAATAGTAAATCTATTTTAAATTAATAGGTAGATTTATCTATTTTTTATATATACCTACTCTATAGAGTTAAAATAAATAATGAATACCTATGTAGGCATATTTAAAGTGTATTAGTATAAACTCATTTAATTTCTAATGAAAAAGAATTACCATTTTTATGCAAGGTATTAGGGATGAAGGTAGTTGGACTTTTTAATAGTTAAAAAAAATATAAATTGAATACCTACTTCTTATTTAATTTATATTTATTTTATAAAAAAACTACAGGTTAGATATCAACTGATATATTTGGTTTTTGACTAAAAGTAGGTATTTTGTAAATGTATAAAAATACAATTAATAAATAAATAATCAACAATTTAAAAACGAAAAATCATAAACAAATTGTACACGAAAACGTATACCAGTACAGCCCTGCATATGCAATCTGGGTTGCATACATACAAAACTAAATTCTCCTTCAAAAAATGACGTCGACAGATGACGAGGCACATGAGTAACACTCCGTTCTATTTACTTTATTTGGAAATTTCTTACTACCAATCGTTCGTGTCCCTTAAATCTGCCATCATTTTATCCTTGATCGCCGGTCTCGGATCTTCTTTAATCTCCGTTTCTACGGCCCCGGTTTTTCCGATTATGTACTCTAATTCGTCATAGGTTATGTTCGGCCCGCGAAGCTCCAGGGGGCCCACAAACTGTTTTTTAAGCTCGCCCTCAAAGTAAATAAATATCGTGGGGAGATTTTTATCGGGGTAGTTAGGTATGCAGGTTGTTGAGATCGATTTAAGGCATTTTACTGCAGGGTATTTATGAGCCAACATCCTTAAATGTTCGTTAATTATAGCACATAAAGGTATTCCCTGCTTGTATAAATGGAGAATAACCCATATGCCTTCACCGGCTTTATTCACTTCATTAACATAATCTTGGGCGGATATTTCACCCACATACCCAAATTTAGCTCTCTGTGTCAACGCTTTGATTTCAGCTATTCTTTTATTTCTGTATTGCAGCAAAACTTCCTCGTCCTCCGAGTCTTCCAGCTCGTCCAACTCGTCCAAAGTCATGTCTTCCATGTTTTTACCGTCGTTTGTTTTCCTGTTTATCGTGTCTTCCAGCATGTTGACAATCTGGTCTTCCGTGATTTCCGTCTCCTTTTTTGGCGGTATGATGCCCTTGGCTCGAAGGACATCGTTCCATTCTGTATCTTCGTCGGGGTTCTGCATTTTTGTTCAAAATTTAGCAGCACTCTTGACACCAAAATAGGTTAACTTCTATAATTAAAACTGCGCGACCAGAATCTACTGTTATAACCATAGAATAAATTTGTAACTGCGGCTACACCTTTCCGGCTACGACGAGGCGAATGTGATGTTTGGCGCGGCGTTGCCAAGCTTCTCTTTAATAGCAGAAAATACTATAAATATTATGGATACCTATGTAGAAGTTTAGTGGAAATTGAATAACATTCAGGCCAATTTACTAACATGAGTCGTTAACGTTAGCCAGTTAGCCACTAAAATCAATGGTTATCGTCCTATCCGACCAATCAGACCGAATAAATATAACGATTACCACTAATTTTAGTGGATTGGTCCGAATATTAGAATTTGGTTATAATAAAAAAATAAATAATTTTATAATCATGTATTTATTTTTACTGTTATTCTTTACTAAAGTATAGTGTCGAACACGTAATTTTGAACGACCACTACTAACTAACCTTACTTAAAGAAAAAATGGTCAATATTGTAGGTATCTTTGCTATTTACAGATTTATTCATGGACAATAGGCTGGTTCAAAAAAATCAACTATTTTTTTTTCTGAAATTTCGCCCTGAAATATGTTCACGGTGCCAAAAAAAGACACCTGTAAAAACCGGACCTCTTAATTTTAATATTTAGAGGTCGCGCATCTAGAATTTCTATTTCCCATTTAAATAACATGGAAAATTTTGTTTTGTTTCTTTATAATTTTCTAGCTCATAAACTAATTAACAGATTTTTAAGCGCGATATATATTTTTGTGGGAAATTAAACGCTCTACAAAAAATGTCTCCTATCATTTTTCGATAAACCAACGATTTCAAAAGTTATTCAAAGTCGAAGTTAAATTTATGTCATAATTGCATTTTTTACTTCAATTTTAGGCCAAGTCATTAGTTAGTTATTATCAAATAAAAAAAAAATCATTCAAACAATCAAAATTACTATGTTCAATAAGCCTTTTAAATTAATTCCACTGAAACACCTACTATTTTTGGAAAGAATTGATTAAAATTCTTTTTGATTGATTATTTCCCTCATTATAATATGAACCAATCAAAAGCCTTGAATTTTCGAATAAATTTCGTTTAAATAAGCGATTAAATCACTAGAACTATTTAACAGCGATTAAATTTTAGCCTCCATATTGGATTTTTGTTTACGATTTTATGGTGTTATTTACAAGTTTTAACAAGCATTTTTTAAAAAACAATAAACAATAAGTTATCTAGTTTACGAAATATCAAATATTACTTATTACATACCTTAAATTAATGGACTTTTCTTTAAAAACATATTTATAAATTTTGACACTTGCGTCAGATTTTATGAATTGTCAAATAGTTTCCTTTAATTCGAGAAATAATCTAGACGTATATCACTCAACCTATAAATTTAATCTGTCAAACTATGCTCAGTAAGTTTTTTATTAGATTTTTCTTTTTAGAAAATAGTTTCATGCAAAATAATTAAAAATAAAACCCCTCGACCGCTACGCGGTCTCGTGATTTTATTAAATTATTTTGCATTCAACATTTTCCAACAAAAACCAAACAAAAAACTACTGAGCCTAGTTTAATCGATTAAATTCATAGTTCTCGTGATATAATATATGATTAAAACCATAGAAAAAGGATTAAAACCTTTTTGACTGACTAAAATCCTTTTTAATGAATTCTCTCCAGAAATAGTAGGTGTTTCAGAGGAATTAATTTAAAAGGCTTATTGAACATAGAAAAGCTAGAAAATTATAAAAAAACAAAACAAAATTTCCCATGTTATTTAAATGGGAAATGGGAAAATAGAAATTTTCGATGCGCGACCTCTAAATATTAAAATTATGAGCTACGGTTTTCACAGGTGTCCTTTTTTGGTACTGTGAAAAAATTTCAGTGCAAAATTTTAGAGAAAAAAAATAGTTGATTTTTTTGAGCCAGCCTAATGGACAACCAAATTATAACGATCAAAATAACTTGTCCGAAAAAAATGTATTACATTTATTTTTATTTTTTTATTTTAAGGCCTAAAGCTGGGTTATTCCTTTCAATATATGTAATCTGCCTTAGATTTTAGATTCTAGAAAACCATCCACACAATCCTAAAAATGCCTACGCTAGGTGCTTTCTTTTTAAACGATCCGGCAACAGCGCAAGTCGCGCGGTAACTTCGGAAATTATTGTTAGATTTTGTTGCGACAGTGTTGTGTTAACAGGTGTTTACAAAAGTACTGTTAAAGGCGATTAACAATCTAGTTATTTTCGAAAAAAATCCATATAAATGATGACAGAAACTGTTGTAAACGTGCAGGAGGCACCTAACAATAATGCGGCCAACAAACCTCACACCAGTGATCAACCTCTTTCTTGGATTAGGTTTAATGTGGATTACTTTAAAACGACACCTGGATTAATAAAAATCGCAGAACTGGTAAGTTTTAAAAAATATTTTATCAGAACTCCAGAATCTTTAAAGATGTGAATTGTTATGTATAATATATTATTTACCTTGCCGATCCCTAAATGTACATATTGCGTTTAAACAGTTGTTTTTTATTTTGTAATTACCTTCTACGCAATTGCAGTACTTACTCGGTGAAAAACATTATACTAACAATTTTTACGGTACGTTTTAGAATATTTTTTATTATCATAACAAGTTTCCTCCTATTCTATATTATATTATTAACATTATAAAAATTAACATTCAAATAAGCCATAAACTAAATTATACGTAAAACTGCTGATTACCATTTTTTTGTTTTATAACTAAAAATATTTAAAATTTTATAATGAAGTCCCTATTTAAAATTTTCGATTCAAGTTATTTTAATTATAACTCATGCGAAAGCTTGTCAAGCTTGTTAGCTGAAGCCTCTTTCTATTTATAAAATTGTCCACAAAATTTGTGTAATATTAAAAATCGAATCAAACTTTTTCGTTCTGTTCACTTTAATTGTAGTGTAATATTTTGGAAACATACTAAATAAGTTATTTGTTATTAATTACAACTTTTCTAGGGTAATTTGGGTTACGGTAATGACCATTATTTTGCTCAATTAGCACTTAAAGGTTTTTCGATTATCAAAGTTTAATTTCGTATATATATTTTCTTAATCAAATACTTTAACCAATGATCATTGGTAATGTAGCTATGGGTCATAATTAAAATAAAAAAATATATAAAATTATTTCCTTTAAAAATCATGATCCTCGGTTGAAGTATTTCTTTAACAAAATATATACAAAATGTACACGAAAATTTTTCTTTATTAAAAAAATGCCTTAACATGTTCTATATGTATATACCTATTCTCATATATAAGCACACTTTTTTTACTCTTTTTTTTTGTTGAGAATTTTCATTAAAGGTACATACTTCGGACAGAAACCCTGCTTTGTTATGTTTTTATATTTCTACATGAAATTCCATGTATGTAGTTTCTTATCAATGACCTATTTTACCATAACTTAACTTTGCAGGTGTAGAAATTAATATTGTGCAAAATGCAACTTTTTACTTATCTATTGTAATTTATCTGAGTAATACGGAAACTAAAAATATAATAAGTCAATAGCACAAGTTAATCTGTTAGTTTTTTTTATATATTACATTTTTCGTTTTTAATTCTTTGCTGTCAACATATTTTTAAACAATGGAAAAACTAAACACTTTTTTTATATTTTAAAAAGTACTAAAACTCTTAATCAAAACTACAAAGTCAATTGAACTATTTCGGTCCCCTTGAAACGGTTCCATTTCATGATCATTGTAAATTTTTGTTTGCATCTCGTTTAACATCCTAATATTTATAACTGTTTCCCTGTATCTTGTGTCATTAATTTATTCAATTATAGAGGCTCTTGGGCGGACTCCAATTGTCGTTTTTAAAATAGATTTACTATGCTTTAAGATAAAATCTGTAGCTGCTCTGTTACTTCATGTCTTAAAATAATTATGAAGATTAGGAAAACATTAAAGATTATAATTTTATTTACAACCTAAAGTTTATTCTTTTATTTTGTTTGAAAAATGTTTGTGATTTTTGTTGTATAAATTAGTATATTGTTTTTTAACTAGCAAACAAATTCGTGTCAAATTATTGATTATTTTAATCAACAATTTCATCAAACCATTAACATACCAATTTATGATTCAACTTCTAAAATTGGAGATTATGAAAAATTTAAGTAATATTTCTTTTTTCACAATAAACCAATTTATTTATAGCTTCCTATTATAGGGTTAACACAAAATAAGTACAACCATAAGTATATTTTTATATGATTTTATACTCAATTTATAAAAAGGAAAATATTTAAATTTAGTTTAAGACAACAATAAATTCAAAAAGGGCCAACGGTGGCCAATAACTTTTTAGGGTAATTTGGGCGCGCTGATTTAAAAATGACCATCATTTTGCTTAATTACTTTTTTTCGCGACATTGGAGAAAAACCATTTTTTCGACATGCAAATATTAAAATTCGTATAAGTATATATATTTTGTTAATCAAGTACTATGGGTCCTAGGAAACTGAAAAAAAATTATACATTCGTAAAGTTATTCCCCTACAAAAACATGTTTTTAACAAAATAAAATCGTTTTTATCTAATATTGAACAGTTTTTAAAATTCAAAGTGCTGTTGCCAATTTTTATGTAATTGATAAAGCTACAACATTTTGTAACTTCTTTAAAATCTGACAAAAAATTACATATTACAGCACTTTTAATTTTGAAAATTGTCTAGTATTGGCTAAAAAACGATTTTATTTTGTTAAATATAGTAATTTTTACAAACAGTGTGGCCCATTTGTTTGCGACTCACCCCTGTAAAATCTTTATTTCTTGTGCGATTTTAACCGTATTTATATTAAGTGTATAAAAACAAATACGGTTAAAATCGCACAAGAAATAAAGATTTTACAGGGGTGAGTTGCAAACAAATGGGTAGATAGATCTTAAGAAACTGTACGAGGTGTGTTCAGAAAATATCGGGACTTTTCGTTTTTTGAAACAAATATTTATTTATTCGTCTACATTAATGTTGTCGCCTTCAAAATAGTCCCCATTGGATATTATGCACATGTGCCAGCTCTTCTTCCAATACTCGAAACACTTCTAAAACTCGATCTTTGGGATAGCCTTTAGTTCTTTCAGCGATGGGCTTTTAATGTCATCTATGGTTGCAAAACGACGGCTCTTTAAGGTTCTCTTTATTTTTGGGAATAGGAAAAAGTCAGACAGAGGCATGTCTGGCGAATATGGAGGCTGGGGCATCATTACAGTATTGTTTTTGGCCAAAAATTTTGTTCAAAATTTAACAATTTTAGAACAAATTTTTCTGCCACGCGTTTCATACACAAAACATTCGAAAAAATTTCATGGGGTGAGCCTATCGATATACCAACATCATCAGCGACTTCTCTGATGGTTTATAACCATTTCTTTCACTTTTACCATGTTTTTGTCGGTTGTTAATGTGCTTGTGCGTTCGGGGCGTTCGTCATCTTCAACGTCTTCACGGCCATCTTGTAAACTCTTGTTTTACTTATAGCAGACTCACTATAGGCCTTTGTTAACATTTCACAGAATTTATTTCATTTTTTAAGCAAAATTGGATACAAATTCTTTGATCCATTTCTTTTAACGAACGAAAAATCGCCGAGCTCATAAAACACGTCTAACCTTAGCGGCTGCCACAGACAAAGTAAACAATGAAAACAGCTAAAGTTTTTATCATACTTCGGGGGCATGTATACCAACATAATAAAGACAATTTTATGACAACCGGACCCTCCGAACCCGCGAAGTTTAACAATTCCCGTTATTTTCTGAACACACCTCGTATGTACTATGTCAGTTTTTGGGAGTTATTTCAATACACTTTTATATTTGTTTTGAAGTAATGGCTGCGCAGGCTTGTATTACCCCAGCCCGTAGTTCTTGTGGTGTAGAGGTGACAAAAATATATGTAATTGTATAGAATTTTTCCAATTTTCTATTTTTTGTTTCCTTGTTGTTTTATGTTTCTATTGCGTTTTTTATTTGTCAAAACTAAGCAGAAGAATATTTATACCATATTACTATTAGTTTAATTTTTTTAAATGTTTTTTTTTATGGATAACTTGACAGAATATATATTTTTTTTAAGTATTTATTATGCATTTTTAATTAAATTAAATTTTTAATTTAATATATACGAATTTTAATGTTTGCAAATGTTAACAAAAAACGGTTTTCTTGCAATATATTGAAAACAATAGATAATTGAGAAAAATGATGTGGCAAAATTGCTGCCGACCAGTGTATTTTATAAAAAAATAATATTATTTATATTATATTTTATTACTAATACATGTTATACTTTTATATGCAGTAAGCTGTATACTATACAGTGTATAGACCCTGTATAAAAGAACAGAAGCAACAACGTACCACAAATACTTAAGTTATAATTATGTTATTAGTATAGTTAAATTTGGTTGATACACACATATAAATTAAACATTTTATTTAATCGAGATAATAATAATAATAATTTTATGAACGTAAATTAACTAATATTATCTAATAATTAAAATTTACTCAAAACTGACCTAATAATTAGAGAAAAAATAATAAAAATTATTTTTTTAAATTCGATTTTCCTTTTTAAAATAGTTCCCTAAAAGTCAAGTCTGGAGAATACCGTTTTCATCAGTGGCGTAACAATAGCAAAATGTCAGGCCCTCCAGGCCCAAACCCCTACTCATTGTTGGTTTTGGAAATAAATACAGAAAATCCGTTTTATATACACACCTCTCAAACATATAGGTACTCGAAATTTCATGAAATTTGAACGAATTAGTCAAATCAGATTTTGATGATGTTTGACAAAAAATGCGAATAATGAATATTTTTTTATTTGCATGGGCGTCAATTTTGTTTCATTAAACCATTAAAGTTGCGTAATTATGCACGTAAAACTGCAAAATTAAACGTGATGTAAACATATTTAATAATGCACATCACAAGGTCAGTCTTGAATCTTAGTAGAAACTATATATTATTATTAATAAATGTCACAACTTCTTAAAATTCAATAACGTCCAATGTTTTCTTCTTAATTGTTCATTTAAATCTATTAATAAATTTAAATGGGCTACTTATATTATCATAATGAAATTTTAAATTTACATATACCTACTAAGTCTTATTTATGGGTTATAAATAATTTGTGTTTCCTACATGCTTCTTTGAATTATTTATTTCAGGGACCATTTGCTTAAAATTAAATTCTTAATTGGTAGGCTCACATTGCAGTAAACAATAACATTTTTATTTAATAAATTATCACAATAATTCATATATTTTTAGCAGTGACATTTTGTTATTGTGGCATAGTAATTGTGGACTGTTTTCCTTGAAATGCTATTTTTGCAATTATA